GCCTATGCTTGTATGTAAAGTTTGTGTTTATAATAAAAAGTTACATTTTACAGGAATAATAATAATAATAATAATAATAATAATAAGTTTTGATCATTTATTGTATTGTGTGTGTGTGTGTGTGTGTACATACATATATATATATATGTATGTATAGGTTAAGAGGCCAATGAAAACTTGATCTTTTTTTTAATGAGAAACTGAACTTTAGTAAGCGCATATCTACGATAGGGATTGTAATATCCCACATCGACCAATGGAGAGGGGGTGATGTGCCTTATATGTACATACTCCCCTCCCTATAACACAAGGTCTTTTAGGAACTCACTGGCTTCGGTTTCCATTGGAACTCCGAAGTTAAGTGAGTTTGGGCTAGAGCAATCCCACGATGGGTGACCCACTGGGAAGTTGCTTGTGAGTTCCCATAAATAAAACCGTGAGGGAATGGTAAGCCCAAATTAGACAATATCGTGCTACGGCGGAGCTGGTTTGTAAGCCCAAATTAGACAATATCGTGCTACGGCGGAGCTGGTTTGGGATATGACAGGGATGGCAATGGTTCGGTTTGGGGACGAAAATGCTATATTCATCCCTATAACCACAAAAATTAATTATATCTATAACTGCAAATTAACCATCGAAGATTATTCATAACCATATCCATCGAGAAACAGATTCTTTATCGGTTAACGATTATATCCATTTTCGTCAATATAAAAAATATATTGTTCAATTGACACATTATATGTATCAGATACTAATTTCATCACTAAATATCCATGTCCAACCAATAAGCCAAATATGATAAATTAGTCTAATGAAAAAAAAAAAAAAAAAAAGGATGACAAAAGCAAATACAACAACGACTAAAGAAGAAACACAAAACAAATCGTCACATAATTATGAAACTTGTGGCAACAAAATCAAAGCATTGATAATGTTGGCTAATTTTTGAACTCTTCCATAAGTATAGTTGAATTCTCATTGGTTATGATTCAGAATTTTGAACTTTCTCACAAAATGCAACTTTTGTGCTCAAGGTAAAGGGTTCGGTGAATATACATATATATATATATATATATATATATATTATACAATACTATATTATATTATGTATAAATTATATTATATCCTTAATAAGTATTATTTAGGGCGGATTCGGGGATAGATACTGATCGAGGACCCCTATATCCAAATTTGAAAACATAGCATAATAATATTTCCAGTTTTTTCCCATATCCAAAATATATTCGAATTTCACCCCTAAATCCGTTCTTTTTGGGCACCTATCCACGGTTATCAAATATAACGGTTTGAATTGTCATCTCTAATCTACGAGGACATACACAAAACAAAGAGAAGCCAAGATGATAATGTATCAAACTAAGTATCTACGTAATGTGAAAAAGTTATAACACATAATAACGCATGATAAGTTTGAAAAGTTATCATGACACTTTTGAAGAAGTTTCCATTAAATTTTCTCTAGTGAGCATCAAAAGTGCACTATTACAAGATCAAAGATACTATCATTCAGGAGAGCCTTTTTTATGTGCCGGAACATGAGGAAGTACACCATATGTCATTATACGTGGATGAATTTTTTTTTTTTTAATTTTTCAAGTGTTCATCTACTTATATAATGACATATAACGTAAGCATAGTGAGAATTCTCTTCTAGCAAACCAATGAACTGCATTTAGGGCCTACTACAGTAGACTGCCCATTACGGTGAAAAGACGTGGCCCCAAATCTTGTCAAGTCTTGTTTGATGGGCCTTCCCAATGTAAGAAAAGAAGACTCATGTGGCACTAACAATGACAGGTCTTTTAGCCCATCTGGTGCACTTTTCAAATTAAGTCATGAGTTTGTTCTTTTATATGCATAGGACACGAGTAGGAGATCTGAAGTGGAAACCTCTCTTATATTTTGATACGCGAAGTATTGTTAGACTAAGAGTTAGTTGATAAAATTCGATCAATTTGGAACCAAGAGTGCAATTATATGAAATGAGGGTGACACAAGTACAATGACAAAAGCAAAAGACAACCATCCTTTTTAAGATCAATTCAAAGTGATTGAGAGAATCTTTGGTTCTTTCACTTTATGACTCCTTAATCACATTATTTAAATGAATCCAACTTAAAACTTAAAAAGAGTGATGGTTAAATAAGAAATTTCATTGTCCGCTAATTTTTAATCAATTTAATTAATTTAATTTAATTATATTATACTAGACAACAAATATCTAGGATCTGCAACTTCTTCTTTCCACAACATGAACAGCTGACAATTGAGAACCTTTACTTGCCCATATCTATTACAACTAGACAAGATTTTGGTGCAATAATTTTAAATGTTCCCCATGGATGTAGATGTTAGAGTTGAAGAACCCAACACTAGTTATTTTTAATACCATAACCTTAAAAAATTTATTCAGATTTCGATAAAAACCTTACGATTAATCAGCTACTTGCAATCATATACCGCAAAAAATAGCAAAAGTAGGACTCACAACCGTTCATTATACATCGTGTAATCATAAATTATTTTAAATTTTAAATTTTAAATTAAATATAAATAGTATCTAACGAAAGTTGACTGCACGATTTACGATGAACGATCACGATCATAAGATCCTTTGGATCCCTAAAAAAATGATCCCGCGAGGATCCTTTTCCACAAGTCGCAATCCCTCATAGAAGGAAAAATTTAAGGCATCCGTTTGCATGAGATTTGTGTTTAAAAATTGTTACATCATTTTTTAATGTCATAATCACAATTGAATTCTACATCATACGTTTTATTTTAGTACAATAATATATTTTACCCTATTGGACAGAGAGAAGTTTGGCTGAGCCACATAATAGACAATCTAATTTGATATCGAATTCGTCATCCACGAAATTTGAAACTAAAATTTCTCATTTATAAATATAAAAAAATATACAAACCGTAATACTAAATGATTTACATCACACATTCTAAGTCGGTTACCAAAATTTGTTATTATGTTTGGTTTGATGACTGGTGATGTGAGATTAGGTTAGGTAGCAAGTCTTTCTCAGTAGGCTTAAGAGTCAACATTCAACATACAATGTCACACTCGCTTTAATTAATAAAAATTAGTTTGACTATTATCTTATCACCACTCGTTTAAGGAAAGGGATCCTCTTCGGATCCCTTCCATCAAATCCATCAAATCAATCAACCTATATTTTTGAGATTTGATCTAACAGCTACAACTATGAGGCTATTTAAAAGTTATAATAACTTTAGCCGTTGAATCAAATTTCAAGAACTTGGATTAGGTGAATAGGTGAATTTAGTGGAAGAGATCTGGGGAGAATCCATTTCCCTCGTTTACCATCATAATCCAAATTAAGGTTACTATTTAATTTGGATCTCCAATCATTGTGGCTTGGCTAATATAGAATTCCTGCCGGTGGTGGTGGTGGTTGTTATTGGGGGAAAAAAAAAAGGCAAAGATATTTCTAAGTATATAATATTTACTATCCTTGCTAGGTTGTTTGTGGCTACATTTCAACACTCAATAATGTATGGCATGTTCCAATCTTTGTATTTGAATCACAATCACGTGGTGTTGTTATTTTATTGTATGTTTGGACTTAACATACTTTTACTGATCGTTTTACACCTTCTCATCATCAGTAACATAGGCGAAATTATACGTAGACTAGAGGTTGCCATACCTCTCCCAGCCACCGTGGAAACAAGACAGTCCTCATGAAATCATTCATTTAATAGATGATTGTCACAAGTTTAAAAAGAACACCACTCGTCCAAGAGGTTAATGATTTCTTTACTTACAAGTAGAAGTGACAAATTAATTCATTGAGTTATTAATGATATATGTTAAGACTTGCTTAAATTTGATATGACTATAATGTAAATGTGAGATTAGTAATGGTGATGATGGTGTAAGGTGAAATAAAATTAAACGGGTTTTATCGAACGCTTATTAATAATCCAATGGACTAATTTGTTACATCTAGTTACAAGGGAGTATTTCCATTGCTGAAGTAAGTCTAAATTTTTAGGGTTAATCTTAGTTTACTACCTAAAATTTCGTGGTTTTCAACATTTGGTACATGAAATTTTTTTCATCCTAGAGTCATACCTCAAGTCTTAATTTTGGGACAGTCTCATACATCCGTTTGCTTGCTGTTAAGTTAGCCTTTAATTGGTGACATGACGTCCATGTAGACAATGACTGTGTGCCACGTGTCATTAAGGGCCCACGTGAAAAATAAAAAATTAAATTAAAAAAAAAAAGTGTCGGCCACCTAAACAGGCCAAACCCTCCCAAATCCCCATAACCTCATTGTCGGCGGCAAGAGCAACAACCTATATCCCCATCTAATTCTGACGAACTCCTTCATATCTTTCTTTCCCTCATTCTCTCACTCTCATCTCAAAAGGGCGTCAATTAGAACCCTGGCGAAGCCTACGCGAAAACCCAGGCCAACAAATCAAAGACCTCTCAAGTGAATCGAAGTCGATGGAGTCAGCGAGGACGTTGGAGTTGTACAGAGAGGAAATTCTGGGCGTTGGAGGGGGTGAGACAAGTGGTACCAGGGAACTTGTTGGCGAACATGGCGACTCCTATGCCAATGCCGCAGGTCTTGATGGAACACGAGGATGAGACATGAGCTCCAAGCAGGTTTAGAATGAAGTCCAGAATCGAGTTTTACTGTTGCGTTCATGCCTTCGAAAAACGTAGAAATTTTTGTTGCCATCATCGTGAAAAGCTCAGAGAGTCGGGATTGCATGCCCGAGTCCTAAAGATTTCACCACCATTAGGTAAAACTGCATCTAATCCAAAAACCATCAGATCCATGCTCAATCCATGCAGTGGCGGATCCAGGATTTTAAACTCGGGGGGTCCCAATAATAAAGGTTAAAAAATTTATAGACAAAAATAACATTGAAAAGTTAAATATAATACATTTTATTCAAAAATCATTTGCATAACAATATTACAAGCTATAAAATCCTAATTCAAGCGTCCACGACGAGGTTTCATGGTCTGAAAATGTTCCATGATAGCTTCATTACCAATACATGAAAAAACATCTTTCTCAATGTAAACAACTAAGCTGTCACTCAACCATTGATCTCCCATTTTGTTGCGAAATGGACCCTTAATGATATTCATGACGGAAAATGCCCCCTCCACTGAAGCAATTGCAACCGGTAAAACCAAAGCCAACTGAATAAGCAAATATACATATGCAAATGTTCGATGCAACCCTTTCTCCACCATTTTCTTAGCAAGCTCATTAATTCCCCGCAATTGAGAAAAATCATTATCAGAACGCACAAAATGAATGTAAATATCAAGTTGATCTTGAAGTGCCGATCTATCTCGATCCGTGAAATCTTTAGGATACATATGAGCAAGGCGAACAAGCTTCTCTTTATCAAAAGCTACAAATGAATCATTCGAACTCAAGCATGCCAAGCAAATAAGCAATTCGGTATTACCTTCAGCAAAGCGATCATCTAATTCTGTAAGTTGGAAATCAATGACCTCGAAAAAGAGCTCCACTTTGTAATGATGATGATTGGTCTTTCTTGGAGCCTTACGCAATGACTTCCCTTGAATGACATATAAATCATCCATATTAGGCACCTCAATTTCATGTTCAACACAAAAAGATGATACTTTATCAACCAAAAGATCAAAATTTTCATCATTCCTCATGCAACGTAGTTGTTCTTTACATGTCTTGACTAAAGCCATTGCATTCACAATCTCTTGATCTTTTTTTTGCAATGCTTGTGACAAATCGTTTGTAACTCCTAATATGAATTTCATAAAAAAGAGGAGGAACACAAAGTCAAAAGATTGTAAATCTTTTAATGACCTTTTTGCTTCACCAGCACTATCATTGTAGCAATCTTCAACAATCATGTCAAGCACATCCACCACAGATGAGAACATTGTAATCAAACTAATCAAAGCACCATAATGTGAATTCCACCGTGTATCCCAAGCACGTTTGAGACTAGTTTCTTGATTTAACCCTTGCCCCGTTTCAAGACAATCATTTTCAATAGCTTTCAAGAGATTTTCTTGTTGTTTCTCTCTAAGTGCATCACGACGCTTACATGAGCATCCAACAACATTTACCAAACTATTAGTCAATGTGAAAAAAGCGGCAACATCGGAGTTTTTCTTTGTTACGGCAACAAGAGCTAATTGTAGTTGATGAGCAAAACAATGAACATAGAATGCACAACTTTCTTCATCCAAATTTTTTTTTTTAAGGCCATTGAACTCACCTCTCATATTACTCGCACCATCATAACCTTGACCTCGTAGGTTGGAGTAGCTCAAGTCATGTAGTTTCAAGAACTCATCAATAGACTCCTTTAGTTTACTTGAAGTTGTTTCGGTAACATGTTGAACTCTTCCATTTCTTAAAGCCTACCCCAGTGAAGGCATCGCTTCCTAATTGTGAAAAGTTGATTTTAAAGAGATAGCAATGAAGACAAAATGCCGCATCTTTAGATATACTGTACTCCAACCAATCATATTCTTCAAACCACGAAACAACAAATCGTCGCTTTTTCTTTGCATGCAAAGTGTATGGGAACTCATACTTTGTAGGCCTACAAGGTCTCATTTGCAAATATGCTCTGCGGACCTCATCTTGAATATTAGAAGGATAGTCCTTCATTCGAATTCTTTTTCCCGGGTCTCTCTCAAGATTATTAAAATCAATGTCACACTCATTTTGTCTTGAGCTCGAACTACCCGAACAAGTAGATGGTGCTATTGGCTTTGGCTTGAAAAATCTTTCCATATTTCTTATTTCTAAACTACACATTTAACCAAAAACACAAAACATATACCAATCAACCAATAAACAACAATTCCATCTAAATTTCAATTATAAAATGAGTATACAAACATAAAACATATCAACAATTATATCAATAATAGACTAAAAATCTCCACCAATATCTAATATAATTTAATTGAGATTAGATTAGAATACTAAAAAACTTACTTGAATTTGGAACCAAATAGTGGTGGCTTGGAGAATTGAAACAAGTGGAGGTATAATATTGGAGTAATGTAATTATAATATGGGATTGGGTGGCATTAGAAATTTAGGGTTTTGGGTGAATATAAGAAATATGGGGGGATTAGGGGGAAAAGCAGTGGAACAGGGAAAGGAGAAGTGAAAGGGACTCTCGGGACATTCATGTGGGGCTAGACTTTCAAAAAGATTATGTAATCATGTTGCAAATGGTGGACCAATTGCAAACGTTTATCTCAATGGTTTAACAAAAAAAAAAAAAAAAAAAAAAAAAAGGAAAAAAAAGGAAAAAAAAGGGCCAAAACACTGCGTTTTGGACCAATTTTTTTAAATGCCCTGTTTTCTTTCTTCTCCCCTGTTGTCTTCTTCTCCGTTGCAACCTGCAACCTACTACTGCAGCAACACAGACAGTCTGCACAGGCCTCGTGTTCGAGTACGAGGGGTCCTCTGGAAAATTTCTAGCAGCATTTTAGGATGGCTGAGGGGTCCTGGGACCTCCCAGGTCCCTCTGTAGATCCGTCTCTGAATCCATGGATCCCAATATAGATCTGTCAATCTAAGGTTGAGTTTGTTTTCCTATGCCTCTGATTTGAGTTAATCTAAACCATGTGATTGTTTGAGAACATTGAAAATTTTGGAGTGGTGTTTTTCTGCGACGCACCTATTTTCTCGCAACGTCGCCGTTCATATCTCCACTAACCAAAAGTCTTGAGAAAGTGATAAAGAGAGGGCCAGGGTGGAGGTAAGGAGGGCCCTAGAAGATAGAGAAAGAAACTGAGATAGAGGAGAAAGAAAAAGAGAAAATTCAGACTTGGGGGGGAGGTAATCAGGTTGTTGGGGCCAGCGGGAAGTGACGCCAACGACAACCGTGGAGAGAGAAGGGTTGGTTGAGCACAGAGGAGAGAAACGAGGGAGGGGGAGCGGGGGTGAGGTAATAGGAAGGTAGTTTTTTTATTTTTTTTTATTTTTCAAGTGGCCCCTTAATGACATGTGGCACATAGTCATTATCCACGTATGTGCCACGCCATCAATTAACAGCTGACTTAACAACAAACTTAACAGATGTATGAGACTATCTCAAAATTAAGACTTGAGGTATGAATCTGGGATGATAAAAACTCCATGTACCAAATGTTAAAAATCACGAAACTTTAGAATAGTAAACTGAAATTAATCATAATTTTTATGTTAACGTGCGTAATTATTTTTTATAAAAATACTTTATAAAAGCATATAAATATGGTTCACACATATTATAATATATACGTGAAAATAATAATACTAAATGAAATATTTTCTATACACGCAACAGGTTCTTCCATCCTAGCCATGATTTAAGAGGTAAAGCAATAATGGCACAAAAATCATACAAATCAACTCCATCGCACCCGTTGATCACCTCTCAATCACCCCAATTAGCAATCCAACGGTGGATACACTTACAAAAAGGGTACACTCGAGAACACACCAGAGACATCCCCCACCCCACGCCTAATTATGTAAAACCGCCATAGAGACTATTTGAGGGAGAAACGACAGATACGTGGAAGAAAACAGGTACAGAGGGATTGGACTTAAATGCATGGGATAGACATGACGTCCGATCACGCCACGTGGACGGTGGATATCAACCACTCTCTCTCCTCCACCGCACTATAAATTGAGGGTCATGGCTTCCCATGAGTACTCGCGCAAAACGGAGCTTGTGGTTATCCGCTTCTTTATCATTAATTCAATCAAACTTTCCGCTGTGAAATTTTCCATCTCCAATACCAAAAATGTCGTCGTGCTGCGGTGGTAAATGTGGTTGCGGGTCCGGCTGTAGCTGCGGCAGTGGCTGCAACGGGTAATCTTTCTAACCTTCTGTTTGTTTCCCGAGAATCTGGAAAAAGAAAATCCCAGAAAATTTCTGCTCTGTTTTGGGTTTTTGACTATGTGGGTTTTTGTTCAGGTGTGGGATGGCTCCTGATCTGAGCTACATGGAGGGATCCACCACTGAGACCCTCGTCATGGGAGTTGCTCCCCAGAAGTCGTACGTATTCTCATCTCTCAGAAATGAAATCCCAAATTATATTTGAAATTTGTAATTTGCAGATTTTGTGGTTATAATTTTGGGAGAGACGGAGAAACAGAAATAGATGGACACCAAACCGACAATAAAAGTAATAAAACGACAATAAAAGGGCTCCAATCCAAAATTAGGGAATTCGTGTTTTTGAAATTTAATCTAAACAGTTAAAGTTATTATAATTTTTAGAGTAAGCTTCTGTTTCGGAGCGCTGTAACATTTGTTTTGTAATTTTGATGTGCAGTCACTTGGAGGCATCTGAGATGGGAGTTGCTGCCGAGAACGGATGCAAGTGCGGAGACAACTGCACCTGCAACCCCTGCAACTGCAAGTGAGGGACAGATGTCACCTTCTGATGAAGCAAGAGAGTCGCGCGGTGGGCTTATGTGTTTATCATTAATATGTATGTGTGTGTGTCGTAATTATGATCCAAATTTACCAAGGCCGTGTTTTTAGAATAAAGCAGCCATGGCTTCTTCTGAGCTGCGGGTCCTACTAGGCTGGGATCTCGTGAGGGCGATCCTAGGTTATGGCTGCTGCTTGTTTGTTTGCTTTGTACATGAAGTAGTAGTATTTATATTTATATGTTGTGTTAACTTGTTGGATCATATTATGTGTTTCTGATGAAATTAATGAAAAACTTGCTCCATCTTTTACTTTAATTTTTGGGTTGATTGACAAGGAAAAGGAGTGCAACAAGTCCAACGACTAAAATTTCTATGATGTTCTGGAGAAATTTGGAGTATAAGATATTTTGATGTTTTAACCGTTAAGAATTTGTCAAACATCTAACGATTATCGGAGAATTTGGTGGAGTTATTTATCGTTCCACAGTAAAAAGAAAAAAAATAAAAAATAAAAATAAATAATTAGTGATAAGCTACAGTTATTTACCGGTCCGAAATAGAGGCTTGAAATTTTGTTATGTTTGTGATCATTGTTAAGCAAATTTAACGGCTCAAAATATCGTATTCAAGACCTTTTACATTTTTTCAAAACTCACCCATCCAATGTTTATTATATGGTTGTGGTTCAACCACAATTTTTTGTTGAAAACTCGCCCTCGCTCTGATGTTTATTGTATGGTTGTGGTTCACGTTACGCTTTGGACGGGAGATATTTTTATGGTTGGAGTAGCTTTTGGGCACATCACATGTTGGTCGAAAAAGTGCCACCATGACACCTTATATTAGTGTTAACATCTTTGGATGTCATAGTAGTGTAACATCTCCGTGTGTGAGGCATAAGTGGCATGCCGTATCAATGACTCGGCAATAAGGCTTTGTAAATTTCATTCAGTTCAAGATTGTAACAACAAATAGATGGAATTCATTTGAAATCATGAGTAATCTTCGTTACTAGTTTACAAATCAACACAAACAGGGTCTTTTCAGTCTTTTACGATGACACGTACAATCTCACGCGGGGTTTGACCAACTTGAGGTTGGATAGATTAAAAACTAAAATACAGAAGGTTTTAGAGTTGACGTGGCCAGACACCTCTATCCAAATTCACACTTGCTTGACCTGTGAAATATCTGAGCAGCTGGGTACTGCCTTTATTTCCTTATCAAGTACCCCTATCGCTGCTTTGTTAAACAGGTTGACAATCTGTTAAAAGAAATTAATTAGAGCAGATTAGTAATCATTCGTCATTCAACGGAGAAGGTTGTAGTGAAACTGTCTTCTGGGATCACCTGCTTAGTTGAGAGGCCTATTTTCTCCAAATCGTTCAGCTGAAACATGCAACGTTCGACATCACAGTTACTCAAAAATTTAGTTCCGATTTCGCTGTACCGTTCCAATTTTATTGGATAGTCCATGAAAAAACAAATGTAATTCAAGTTTCATCTGTTCCTAAACCTTGATAAACTTGCTTACCGATTTTAAGGGGCTCGTTTCTCTGAGCTCGAGTATGTATTCAGCCATTTTGACTCCTATTCCCTGGTTGATGAACGTGACGAAAAAAGAAAGTATCAGAATGCAACTAATTATTTTAAGAACACACAAAGATGCAGCAGTTGATATGAACCTTTAACTCCAGCAGCTCTTCCCTGCAGTTGAGAAAACCAGTCGAAATATTAGGTTCATTTGGTATGATTTAGTGAAAAATGCAAGAAACGAAAAAAACGAAGAAGCTTCTAAGAGATGATTAGATTTTTACCTGTTGGCTGTGTTCAAGAAGTCAATATAATCTTGAAGTAGGAACTTCTGTGCAAGGAGAGAAAAACAGATGAAAATCACATTACAAAGCTAGAACTTAAACTTATAGAGTTGTATGTAATGATTGTACCTTCAAGTTTGATCCGCAAGCAGTGAATTTATCAAGTGGGGTGCCTGTCCTTTGGAACATGTTTTTCGGGCAGGTCGCTAAAGAGGGAGTTTTTGGAGTCTTTGGATCAAAGAGTAGGGTGCAATCTCCATTTGTGAACATGGGTTCACTGAGGGGATTTTGATTTATATTGGTGTTGACCGGGGAGAGAGCTTTTCTCAAGGAACTTTGTGGTGTGTTTTTCTTCCCACTGATGGTTGATGAGTCGTTTGCAGAGTTTTCCTCCTGGTTTGATGGCTCACCTATGCATATATACAAGAAAATAGTGCAATTATTCAATTTGTTTAGAGTGTTTGAAGGAGCATAGTAAGTAATAAAACCATTTAGAGCTGAAACATACCAGGTAAACTTGTATTTGATTCAAAAATGGATCCACCTGCTCCAGCCTTGCCCACTTGTTTATTATCCTTAGCGGCGAATTGCAGGCTCTGGAAAGCAATTCCAACTCATAAATACACAATGACATAAACATCAAACGCAAGATAAACTAATTCGGAATGAATTCAGTAGCTTCTCATCCTCAAGTGGAACTGCTAAACTCAAACTTTAATGAATTCAGTAGCTTCTCATCCCCAAGTGGAACTGCTAAACTCAGACTTTCAAATAATATGCCATCTTATGAATATCCTAATGTGATGAATAAAGTTTCACACTACATGATAGAGGAAGGATAATAACGTATTGAATACACTATAACGTGGTTCTAATTTTATCATTTTCCATCCATGTACTCCCTAAAATTTAGTAATTACCTCCAAATTGGAATCAACTAGACTTTCGTTGTCGAATATGTTCCTGATAGGCCTTTTGATTGTCCTGCAAAAAAAATTTAACAATCAAACAAAAGTGACTAATGCATAGCATGACGGATATACAATTCAACTAGTTACTTGTCTTTGTACCTTTCTTTCACAGAGCAGGCGCTTCTGTTTGTATTCACCTTGGATTTCATAGAACTGAGGTTGATGTTGGGTTTCTTGACATTAGCAATAGAAGAACTTGGAGTTTTCCCCAACAAGGGAGAATTGAATGCTTCAATTCTTCGCGCACTCCTTGTCTTTCCTCTAGATTCAAGCCAAGTACAGAGTTTGGCTTCCATGTCAACTTTAACCTTCGGGGTTTCTTGCTTGTGAGCTGAAGGAACAAAGTTGGTAATGTGGCGTGACCGAGCTGCCAAGCTGACAGTATGAACAGACTCCTGGTACTCTCCTGGATTCTATTATCAAAGAAAATTGTTTCCAATATAATTTTCAAAGAAAAAAAAGATAATAATAAGTACAGGCCAGATGAAAGCACTTCTATTCAAACGCTAATTCAAACTTCTTACCAAGCAAGTAATCATCAAAGCCTGACTCATCCCACCTAGTGAGTCTTGTAAAATACGAGTCAATTTACTCTCTCTATAGGGCACTCGGGATAAGTTGTTGTTCAGTGCATAAATGACATTTGATAATGCAAACAAGGACTGGTTAATCTTCGCACTCTCTTGGAGACGGGTCCCTTCGTTGCAAGTTCTTCTATTATCTTCATTGCCTGCTTTAAATACACATGTAGATTAAATAAAGAGAAGACAGAGACCATAAACAAATCTACTTTCCAATTGATTTTTACTTTTGTTATAGGGAAAAGTTTAGGGGTGGGAAAAGACCGGCTAAATCTATGAGATTCAACTTCCCAGTAACAGCATCCCCAGAACCATCATCAAGAGGAGTTGAAACGGCAATCACAAGGACACCATGGCTCCTACTAGAGACATCATTGAGACCCGTATGGGCGGTTTTCCGCCTCTGAATCCCACAAGAAAAGGCCTCATAAAACTCAAACATGGACTTTACAGGGAACCGAGACAGCCCCTTAAGATGAACCTGCCCATCTTTGTCATCCAAAACCGTAATTTCCTTGGCCTTGATCTCTAACAGGTCATAACACCGGTCCATATAGACCTCGTAGTATGAAAGCTCAACTGAGCTTCCTGTGCTCTGGCACATAGACAGGATTTTGGACATGGACAGCTCCATTAGACCCGGCATCTCATCCGTGCCCTGGAACATAAAATCCCATGCTGGATTAACATTGCAGAAGAAAATGCTTCAGAACAAACACTAAAAGCTGCTTTTAGTTACTTTAACCTATGCTAATTCACAATTTTCATTTCTTTCCGGGGATAATTACAGATGATTATCCAAGTTAATGAATTATTAATCATAAAATGCCTTCACTAATGTTTCATATGTGTGGTCAGACGTTGGTGTAGCCACATTGGGTAGAGCGGATGTGCTCCCCCTCCCGGCAGTTTAGATTAGTTTAAAAATTAAAATGGAACATCGATTATATAAAAAGAAACGAAAAAAAAGTTCATATCTTTGGAGAATTTAAATTCAAAACTGAATTTTTGCCAAAAGAAGTAAAAAGATTTCAAACCTGTATAGTGTAAGTCTTTCCACTTCCAGTAGCTCCGTAGGCGAACACCGTCGCATTGCAGCCAAGAAAGAGTCCCGGAATCAAGGGGCAAACTTCTCTACTGAAGATCCGGCCAACATTGTTATCCTCTTGGGCAAAGAAGGAGTCTAACCGATAGCACTCGTTTCGGCTACACCTCGAAAATCAAAATCAGGAGTCACCATCAAAACCCAGCTTCCCAAATCAAGAAGGCCGAAATTCATCTCCGAATTATCTGACTGAAAAGCAAGAAAATTACTCACCTTGTCACTTTATCTTTGAGGTGAACAACCACTTCCTCGGTGGCAGACTCGGATTCTTGTTCGATAACGGAAGCGCACGGCGTCGGATCTCTGTTACCGGTAGGGATCTCTTGGGGAAGAAAAGGGCGCACCCGAGCGATCACCCTGACCTTCGAAATTGAACTGGGGTTCGTGGATTTTGCTGGAGTTGCAGAAGAACTGTCAAGAGCTCGACCTACCTCCATTGGAACAAGGGAAAGAGCTTAGGTTGGATTTCAAGTGAGAGAGAGAATTGGGAAATTGCAGAGCGGTCTGTAACTGAAAGTGGAGATAAAGATTAAGAGGAGGTCTGAAACTATTTGTCGAACGTTGGGGCATTTTCAGTTTGAATTTTGGATTGGGTGCGGACTTTGCCGTTGGACCTCGTGTGTGGTGGGGCCTATTTCTTACTCCTTTGGAATGTGCGATTATTATGTCAATTTTGTATGGAAAGTGTTATTGACATTTAAAAAATTTTATTCTACACTTTTCAGAAGTGTATTTTTTTTTCTAAATATAACAACTACTTCCTTTTTTTTTTTTTTGGGTGGGGGTGGGCTTAGCCTCACAAAAGGCTAGCAGATAATATGGTTCAAATTCGTCTTTAGCGAGAATTGAACCTAAGACCTTTTATTTATAAGTGAAAAAAATATCACTAAATCGTAGAACTAAGTAGTTAAGAACTACTTTCTAAACAATGATAAATTCTTCCCCGTTGCGTGTTGAGATCAAATGAGGCCCATAGTAAGTATGGTCGTATTGTCTTTGCATAGAAGAAAGACCTTTATGATTTAAGTATACACTATCTTGACATTTGGTGGCAATATAATAAAAACGTGTGTAAATTTTTATTTATAGCATCGTATCATTAACATAAGTTGTTGATAGTATAACTAGGATTTGGATCTCATTCATATTTAAATTGTAGGAATTCTAGAGATCTTCATATTTTAACTGTTTATCGTACATCATGTGGTTAAAAATTATTTTAAATTTATTTATTTAAAACTAAACACAAATAGTATCTAACGAACAATAACTACACAATATACAATAAACAATCATGACGTGAGGAACTTTAGAATCACCACAAAAATATCCTCATCCGTATAACCATGCCTTCAAGTTGCTCTCATGAATTTTCGAAGTAAAAAAAAACTGCTCTCATGAATTTGGTTTGTCTATGGGCCCCCACCGTGGACCCACAACTTGTGAGACAAAGCCGCATACGACCGGCGGAGGGAAACTCTCTCCCAACCAGGCCCAAATGGCCCCCTGGTCAGAGTTTCAATTACCGAAACGTTTGAGGACCTGTCAGCAAGGCGGCGCAAGTTTGTGAAGGGTTTAGGACAGAGACCGTAATAGTATAAGCGTTAAACCCTAAACCCCAAAATTTTGGGAAATCGAACGAAGACGAAGATGGAGAAGGGCATGCTGTCTGCAGACTTGGAGGGTCTTCCCGAAGAAGACAAGCACAGAATGGCCACCTTGATCGATCAGCTCCAGATTCGAGACAGGTTTTTCTGAATTTTTTTTTGGAATGCAGTGTTTTTGTTTAGTTTTTTTTTTTTCCTGAAAATATTGAATTTGTTCTCAGTAATTTGTGATTAGTGAGGCGTGTTCTTGATACGGTGCATGATAGATTGAAGTCTTAGAAAAATACCCACAAAATTAAATGGTTAATTGTTAGCAGGAAATTTGAAACTATGATGTGATTCCATTGTAATCAAGTATATGTTTTGAAAACCGAACCGAACCGGATATATGTCTTGGGTTTGGCTCACGGTTTTGATGATGAACTGGCCCAAACCGAACTGTGCCCATCCCTAGTGATTTCGGTTGTGTTTGTCCAAAAATGCAGTCTGAGGATGTATAATTCATTGGTGGAGAGATGCTTTACTGACTGCGTAGACACCTTTTATCGCAAAGCGCTGACGAAGCAAGAGGATACGTGCGTTCGTAGGTGCGCTGAGAAGTTCCTCAAGCACTCGATGCGCGTTGGCGTGAGGTTTGCAGAGCTTAATCAAGGAGCTGCTACTCAAGATTGAGCTAAGCTCTATATATGAATCACTTTTTGGTATGGAAGTCTTGAAAATCTTTCGAATTGGTTTACGGAAGTTGCAATTTGTTTAGCCTTGATTCTAGAATTGTGTTTCTTACACTGATTAGATTTGTACATTTTCAAAAGAAAAAATATTCATTGTGAGGTTTTACAGTTAGCTGGAACTGGATATGAATTGGTTATGATTTATGATTTTGCCCTTTTATTCGCGTATCATATCTGGTGTGGTAAATTCGTTGTGTACATGTTAGACTGTGAACGTTAAGGAGGAACGGCTCTTTGCCTCTGCAGCATTGCGAGTGTAGAAGTTGAGATTGTGTGGTTTTGTTCATTGATGAAGTCCCGACTGCGAAAAAATGAATATAGGATTTGGGATTGATAGACTTTGATGCAACCTTTCATTACAGATCCTTCCATTCTTCCCCTTAATTTAGAACTTGACCTCGGTTGGCAGTGATCTTGATAGTGAGGCAACCAACTGATTTAGATTTAGATGAGAAGAAGATTGGTTTGTAAAATCGTCGACTTCTGAGCCTTTTCCCCTTTCTGCCAAGGATGATAAAGATTACGATGTGACTCTGAAAGTATCCTTAGGACTAGGAAAGGGAAACTTGAAGGGAGATTACCTACAGTGAATGAAGGAGTTGCCAGTTGGTCTCCTGGGCGCGGAGATCCCCGCTTGAACTTGACGAGCAATTAGGCAGAAATGTGAGCAAGCAGATGTAGGGGATTGGATTGAACATGATGTGATGCAGGCAATTTTGTGCTTCGATGATCGTCTTGGAATGCAATTTTCTAGTGCTTGTTATTTGGGATTCGATAATGTAAATTTTTACGTTGAGTTGTGTTATTGAAGGAAGGATGGAGGTTGTTCTTGGTAAAGATTCCATGATGCTTTCTGGGGAAGTAGTTGGATATAAAGATGTCAAATGCTTATGGTTTGAAGTTCTCTTGCTCACAAGTGATTTTTGGTATTTAAAAAACTCATTAAAAACCCAAGAGAGACAAAAAAAAAGCTACTTGCACAAAATAATTGGTCACGTTGAGGGTTTTCCCGCCAACCAACGGTCCAGATTCACGAGAATAATACAACCCAACAAAAAGAGAGAAAAGAACAGCATCAGGCACCGTTCATTCACCCATTGATCTGGCGTTCCAGCCAACATTTAGTACGCTAACCCGCCATTTAATAATTAAAACGTTCTTTTCCAAACAAAACCCACTTAAACGACGACCCATTTATTCCCCAATCCAACGGTCCATAACTCCCCGCGCAATCAAACCCCTCATCCAACCGCTCCAAACGTGTTCGACATTTAACAAAGGGGCGCAGAGTGCCGTTTGAGGTTCAAACTTTTGGCTAACGTTCCCAGCACGCCGTCATCCGCCGTTAACTGACAGGGTTTCCAAACCTCGCAAAAACTTATACCACTTTCGGTAACGGTAATTAACGGAGACGTCGGTGCATATATATTCGTTATAAAATTTTCTAAACATTTTTTTTAAAGTATTTAAATATTATTTCCTCTAGGTTCTAACCTCTGTTCTCTCTCTCATCGTTTCAACGGGCGAGGATTTTTCGAAACTAAAAAGCTCTCCTCTTTCATGTTTCAGAGAAGAAGGGTTCTGAAATTCTATTGGGTTTAATAGATGAGCTCGATTTCGATTCCCGCCACTTCTTCGCAAGCAGAGGTAACTCTTACCTTTTCAGAAAAATCGTTTTTTTTGTTTTTGAAAACTCTTGTTCTTGTTTCTGTTTTTTTGCTTTTCAATGATTTTCCACTGGGTTCGATCAAGTTTTTACGATTTCTTAGACTTCAAGTTGCTTGGATTCGTGTTGGGGTTTTTGGGTTTTCAATAAAAGCCCTAGAAGAATTGTGTTAATTTGCAGTTTTTTTTTTATCTGAACACGAGTTTTTAAGATCTGGGTCTTCCTTGTTTGGGTCTATGGCGGTAGGGTTTTGGAGATTTTGGAGTTAAGTTCGGGGGTGTTAGGTGTTTTCGATTTGGTTTAGGGGTTTCTCTTGGAGGGTTATGTTTGGTATCTGTGTGTTTGTGTATCTATTTATTGATTGGGATATTGGATTTTCGAGATTATTTTTAGGAGGAGATGGCTGGGGCAAAATTAGAGGAGTGTTGCCTTGAGAATAAGCAATCCATGGCTACATCGAGCTCGTCTGTATCTGAAGGCAGTGGCAGTGCTATTATCAAGTCCACAGGGGCTTGCAGCCCAGCATCTGCTTCTCCAACTCAACGGTACTTTCCCTCAATCCTTAATAGCTGTGATTTAGTTACAACTATATTGACGTTCTCTATTTAAAAACAATTCAATTACAAATTCGGTGCTCATCTTTAGTTCCATGCATCTGCTTTTAGAAATTATATGGTTTTCAATGGATTTTTGTATCCTTACCAGCTGGAAATCGATCTGCTAATTTAATTTTCCTTTTGACCATTATGCATAGCTTATAATTGTCATTGAAAGTTTTGTGGCCAGTGAACTGAAATGTGTTTTTTCACCTTTCAGGAGAACTAGTGGTCCTATTAGGAGAGCCAAAGGCGGTTGGACTCCGAAAGAGGTCAGCATTTCATTTTGTACTTATGTTCACTTGTTTGTATTGTCAGCTAGAAGCATGTACGTTTTTCGTGTTTGTTACTGGAGGGAGACATTCATTAGTCAGTCATCAAAACATCTATCTTGAAATTCTTGAATCTTTCATTGCTTTTAGACTAACTGGTTGTATTACTTTTGTTATCAGCACCTGTTTTTATACGTTGTGTTGCTGCTATGATCCGCAAAAAACAATTGAAACTGGGCAATTAGATCAAAATAAATTGTTGTTTTGACTAAACAGTTACAGTTATGGATTAGCATGCTGATCCTGGTTATTTAGTCACAACTCTTTTCATTGCATGAGTCTAACTTTTAATAAATGTTGGATGACCACAGGACGAGACATTAAGGAATGCCGTTGCTGCTTTCAATGGGAAGAGTTGGAAGAAAATAGGTACATCTGTTGCCTGAGTAGTGTTTCTGATTTATGTTGTTGGTTTCCAAGACAGTTTTAGAATGCATCTTTTGGGTGGATTTTGTGTAGTTACATCTTTCCGTAGCTTTGGTGTTTTTAGGTAGCAGTTAGTCTGCTCAGGCAATGTGTTCGCCTAATCTTTTTAGTAATAGAGATCTTGATAAATTAAAATAAATCTAATTTTGGTCGAATGATAAGCATATAGTCAGAGCTCTGAAAGTTCAAAGCAAACCCATGATAGATGTCCCAAGAGTTTGAAACGTGACTGTTCATTTAATTGCCTGATTTTCTATTTACCTATGTTGTGAATTTTCTGTTGTACCTAATATTCAGGAAACCAATCTAATATTTGAAATTGAACAATGTGTATGCAGCTGAATTTTTTCCTGATAGATCCGAAGTGCAGTGTCTGCATAGATGGCAGAAGGTTCTTAATCCAGAACTTGTTAAAGGCCCGTGGATTCAAGAGGTTGGAACCTGATACCATACTTGTTTTTCTTAATATATTCTTGCAGTTTTGATTCAAAATTTCAACTTTCTCTAAAATGTTTTGGTTTGTAGGAGGATGATAAAATAATTGAACTGGTAGCAAAGTATGGACCTACAAAATGGTCATTGATAGCAAAGTCTTTGCCTGGTCGGATAGGGAAACAATGCCGAGAGAGGTAACCTTCATAAGTTTTGAATTATCATGATGCTTTTTGTCTGATACCATCGACCTATAGTTACTAATAAGTTCTTATGTTATTGTCATACGTGATCCTGGAAATTTTGACCACTATTGTACTTACCTGATTGATCACATGTTCCTAAAAGTGCTATTTTGCTCTGGAATTAACATTTATGCCATTTGTTGCTTAAATAGTTTTGTATGATTCTGTATACATTTTAATGTTTTTCTTTCCGTAGGCTTGGTCACTGCTTTTATAAACATTGAACCATTTTTTCTCTTCAGGTGGCACAATCATTTGAATCCTGATATAAAGAAGGAGGCTTGGACGTTGGAAGAGGAATTAGCTCTTATGAAGGCCCACCAGATGCATGGGAACAAGTGGGCCGAAATCGCGAAGGTTTTACCTGGAAGGTATGTTTCTTGTTTGATTTGTCGTTTACGAATGATGTTGAGGTGCTAATTAGAGCAGCAACATATAGATATAACAAATTTCAAGGATCACTGCTAAATTGTGACATCAAAAACTTCTGAATTGTGGTCTTATACCCAACTTTCGTTTAAAACTTTATGAGGGAAACTCCCAATTTCAATGAGTAGTGCTAATGTTGCCGTCTGGAAACCACTGTTACCTTAAAAATTAATCTTATAAATTGGAAACCACTGTTACCAAGTTCTTTATTTTATTTGTACATAACTTGGAAACCATTGTTTACTAAGCCAAATGTTGTATTTAACTTAACGATGTGTTTGCAGGACTGATAATGCAATAAAGAATCATTGGAATAGTTCCTTGAAGAAAAAACTTGACTCATATTTGACTACTGGGACACTTCCACCACCTCCAAAGTGTGGTGCCAAAGAGCCAAAATCCAATGCAACTAAAAAAATACTTGTTCGTTCAACTAAAGGATCAGATTCAACTGCTCAGACATCATCTGGAAATGCAGACATGTCTAAGCTAGATGAAGATGGAAAGGATCAGTTCGAGTCCGCCGCCCCACCTCAGGATATGGGTGCTTCATTAAGTGTTCACCCAAATGAATTTGCAGATTCTGAAGGTGGTAACCTGAGATTATCCTTTATGGATCTTAGTTGCTCTAACTCAGACTCAGGGCCAAAATTTGATAATTTTGGAGTAAAAAGAAAGCCTCAGATTGAGAGTTCTGTCAGTAATGGCCGGGCAGAGTCTGAGAATTGTGGATTTAACAACCAAATGGACGAAGACAGAGTTAAGACAACATCTTTTCCGTTTGAAACTCCAAGCTATGGTTCCTTATACTATGAACCACCACCTCTAGAAAGCTCCGTCCAATTCAATTCAGGTTTTTCAAGCATGCATTGCTTGCAGAATGATTACACCTCTAGTCCAAATTTATCACCTATAAGTTTCTTCACTCCTCCTTGTGTGAAGGGCAGTGGTTTATGTAATCAAAGTCCTGAATCAATTTTGAAAATAGCTGCTAAGACCTTCCCCAATACTCCTTCCATTTTGCGAAAGAGAAAGACCATTGGCCAAGGACAATCGGCTCATAATAAAGTTGCAATAGTGGATTGTGAATCAGTCAGGGAAATGCTTAATGTTTCTAGTGAACACAAAAACAGTGCGGAAGTTTCTGGATCTCAAGATGGAAGTTTATGTGAGAGTCCAACTAGTAATGGTATCAGTACCATTGGGCCTAATGGTAAGGCATTTAATGCATCTCCACCATACCGGTTAAGAGCCAGGAGGACTGCCGTTTTCAAGTCTGTGGAGAAACAGCTTGAGTTTACATGTGATGAAGAGTATGATGCTAATTCTATGTCCGTGGAGTTATCTGCAAATGGCAGCTAACAAAGATGGCTGTCACCTGGGGCATGCATTGTAAGGTACAATTTTCTTATCATTGTTCTTGAACTTATTTGTCTCTGATCTAGTTTCTTAAAATGCTATCATCAAATAAAATTTTACGACCTTTGGTGTCGTCCTTTTTATAATTAGTTTGTATTGTTCGCACTTGGTAAACTGTTCTTCTATTTTAGACGTCTCTGAATGCAAGATCGCTATATGACATAGAATTGCTTAGCCATGGAGTGAATTATGATTGTAGATTATCTGGTCGTTCGATTTTATCCTACCATTATATTTTGAATTACATACCTTATGAGATAAAGGACAAGCTTGCAGAAGTAATTGATAGATTTTTGGTTTTCAGAGAAAGGAATCAAAGTTGTCATTCTTTCATTCTGGATTTTTAAGTTAGATCTATTTCCTCGTTCATTTCGTTGTGTAGCCTTTGTTGCAAAAGTTAGAAAAGAGCCAAGCAATCTTTTGCACTTTCTTACAGTAAAGTCAAAATTAAAAAAAAAAAGATCTGTAAAGTCCATTAAAACATTGGTGGTATCGAATCAGTTAATCCGACATCCAGAATCCAAAGTGATACAATTTCAACTCCCGTTTAGGAAAATTGTTGGAAGTGTGTATATTTCCTTCGTTTCCATGAAGCAGTTCTTATTTTCTCACTGTCAGCTGTAAATATCCTTTCTTCCTTCTTCATTTCTGACTTGGTTTCCTCTGGTTTAATTCAGGGACAAAAGAGAGGGCGATTCTTTTTGACGTTGGCTGACACTGTTGAACTGGTGATATTTCCAAGTCTACAGAGCTTTAGAACAGAGTGATACTTCGATTTACCCGACCATTCTCTGGTCTCACATCTTCAATGCCTTACAAGTCATTAACTCGCAAATACACCACTTGTTATTAGTTACATGAGAGCGGTTTTTCGGCACGCCAACTTGACAAAATACAGTGGCAGGGGCTTCTGTATGTGTAGAATAAAAATGATAGGCCCCAAATACTTGTGAAAATATATTGGTTGTATCAGGATTTGTACAGAAAACCCCTCATCAAGGAGCCATGATGCTTCATCCTTGAAGTTGAAGGATTTCTCAATGAAAGCTTAGCTCCTGTCATTCTTTATCAATGTTTATAGTTACAACTTAACTTCATTTCCCATGGAGACACGTGTACGCGTAGAAATCTTTTTTATTAAGTGGTCCTGGAAATCTTAGGGTTACTCTTTATTGCTCCAATTATTTTTTATTTAGGGTTCGTTTGATATCCATTCTATCTTTTTGTTGTTGGATCATCTTCAATTTTTGGGGGGTTAAAACCTAGAATTTTTAACTCAGAAACAGTTGTTCTTCTCCAATGGTTATGGGTTAAAATTTTAACTCGAAATTATTAAATCAATTAAGACTAAATTTAAAATAACATTTATATAGATTATCATAATTTATATTTTTTTTAACATTTTTACTTAAAAATATTTAGATTCTAATAAAATTTGAAAATTCATTGAATTGACCCCAAAGATTTTTTTTTTGGTGAATTTTGATTTAAATAATTTTTTTAATTTTTTTAGTTGTTGGATTTAGTTTTGAGTTGTTTGATCTTTTTTTTTTACTATTAAATTTGATCATATTCAATCTCAGCATTGGATTTAAAATTTTCAAAATAAAAAAATTAAGGGTTAATCTCTGTTTATTATCCTTAAGTTTCGTAGCTTTCAACATTTAGTACATGAAGTTTTTTTCGTCCCAGAGTCATACCTAAAGTGTTAATTTTGGAACAGTCTCATACATCTTTTAAGTTTTCTATTAGAACTTCTGTTAAATGATAACGTGACGCTCATGTGGACAATTAATGATCGCCATGGACCCACTTCAATATTAAAAAAATTATAAAAAAACACAAAAAAAAAAATATTTAATTAAAACGTCTGTACCCATCTTCTTCCCTGCACCCTCTCCCTCCCTTCCCTATTCTGCAACCCCACCACCACCCTCCCTTCTCTCTTCTGCACCTGCACCATCACCCTCCCTTCTCTCCTCTGCAACCCGTACCCACCCTCCCCGCACACCCAACCCAACAAAACCCAGTTGACCCAAATCCCTAATGAGGACCTCCACCATCTCGCTCCCGGCGAAGCATTTCTTGACGATTTTCATCTTCATCAGACAGTCCTGAATCGGCAACTTCAGTCGCAACACCCTAACTATACCCATCATCTGGTCCGTCAACTCCCCCTCATCCAGATCGTCTATCCGTAAACCGACGGCGGAGGCACCTCGTCGGGACATTTCGAGATGAGCATCTCCTTCAACCGCTGGTCAAATCCGCCGCTGTTCCTTAGCGAGTTGAGCGCCACCAATCCTTCGAACTGCTTCTCGTTGAAGAAAATCTGAGGTACAGACGAGCGGGGGAGAAGGTGGGTACAGATGTATGTTTGTTTTTTGTTTTTTTTTTTTTTAGGTTGGGTGTGCGGGGAGGGTGGGTACGAGTTGCAGAGGAGAGAAGGGAGGGAAGGAGTGAGGTTGCAGAAGAGGGAAGGGAGGGAGACGATGCAGGGAAGAAGATGGGTACAGACGTTTTAATTTTTTTTTATAATTTTTTAATATTGAAGTGGGTCTATATTGACATATGGCGTCCAGTAATTGTCTACGGGGATGTCATGTCATTATTTAACAAAAATTTTAACGAAAAACTTAACAGATGTATGAGACTGTCTCAAAATTATCACTTTAGGAATGACTCTGGGACGAAAAAACTTTATGTACTAAATGTTGAAAACCACGAAACTAAAGATAGTAAACAAAATTTAACCTAAAAATTAAATAGGTTTGAATCCAAGGGTCCAATAATTAAAACCACGAAAAGAGTTGTTGGCTCGTTTTTTTTTTTTTTTTTTTTTTGGGTGGGGGGGGGGGGGGTGGGGAAGATGGCCTAACATTCTCGTCAGGGCGAGCCCCACGTCCAGTCAGCCCTTGTGTGATGGGCATCTTACCTTACTGTAGCCTCCACTTTTCTGGGCACGTCTATGCGTAGAAGGTGGGTCAGCCTTACCTAGTCGGAATTCAGGGTCAAATTTGCCAAAAATTTTCATCTATAAAAAAGTCAAAAATAAGAGAATTCTGTTGAAAAGTCTCAATGTCAGTTGGCAATGAATGCCCACAAAGCAGAAGTCTTCTGCATGGGCAAAGTTTTCAATGCCCATGCTGAATGAAAGTGTCAGAGGATGCGTTTTAAATTTCAAGATGCATTAACTGCATCAGTTCGAGTTGCTCTATAAATAGAGCACTCCGCATGTAACAGAAGATAGATGAAGAAGACAAACAAGAGAGAAATATCAATAACATCATCTATTCCTCTGCCTTTTATTATCTGCCTGTGCTATAGTTTTTGTGTGTCATTTTACATCTACCTTGCACCTACCACTTAAAAGGTTATCTCTCAAACTTTAACCCTTTTATAACACGTTATCAGCACGAGTCTCTAAATATAATTATTCTCTCATCTCTCTTCGCCGAACGAACGAAAGAAAAAAATGTTTCCTTTAAGGTTTTTACTGTTCATCTTCTTCATCTGCCTCAACTGCGCCGTGTACCCTCGCGACGAGTTGTTTGCTCCATGCCTGCTCATAGTTCTCCAACTAACGGTTACATACATCTTTGATTACTTGTTTGGTGTAGAGATTGATTACTAACCCAGTATTTATTTGTGTTAATTCTACTGCAATCCAAGATGGTGCGGTACAATCGTCCATCTTGAACTGCAAATTTAATCTTACTGCAATCCAAGATGGTGCGGTACAATCGCTCATCTTGAACTGCAAATTTCATCTTACTGAGATCCAAGACGGTGCGGTATCATCGCCTATCTTGGACTGCAGATTTAATTTTACTGCAATTTTTAGGTGGAGCGGTATAATCGCACACCCTACCCTGCATATTCGAATTTACCTGCTGTTTAATTTCATTGCAATTTTATGTGGTGCGGTATAATCGCCCACGCTGCTCTGCATATTTAAATTTCCTGTTACTTGAGTGGTGCGGAATAATCGCCCATTCTATATTACATTATTTCAATGAGAATGGTGCGGTACAATCGCCCTCCTCACTCATCCTGAAAATCTCGAACCAGAAGTTTCGAGTGCTTATCATTTTGGCCTGAAGATCAAAATGAAAAATTTGTAAGAATCAGAAGTTCTAACATCATATTCCTCCAGGAATACATATTATTGCAAGTTCTTACACATCTCATTTTCTTTCAGAAAAGAAAATGGCGAACTTGGCGAAGCTTGAATTTGCTGCCCTGGATATTACCGGGAAGAATTACCTGACCTGGGTACTGAATACCAAGATCCATTTGGAAGCAGGGAATCTTGGAGATACCATCAGGGAAGAGAGCAACTCATCCTCTCAAGATCGGGCAAAGGCCATGATTTTCATTCGCCGCCATCTTGATGAGGCGCTAAAGAGCGAGTACTTAACGGTTGAAGATCCGTTAGCTCTCTGGAATGCCTTGAGAAGCAGATACAATCACCAGACAACGGTGATTCTTCCAAGGGCCCGCTATGAGTGGACTCATCTGAGGATTCAAGACTTCAAGTCAGTGGCAGAATACAATTCTGCATTGTTCAGAATTAGCTCTCAGATGAAGCTCTGTGGGGATATTATTACTGAGTAACATATGCTGGAAAAGACTCTCAGCACATTTCATGCCTCCAACGTGCTCCTGCAGCAGCAGTATAGAGCGCGAGGCTACACTGAGTACAACCAGCTGATATCTGTGCTCTTAGTAGCTGAACAGAATGATGAACTCCTGATGAAAAACCATCATTCCCGACCTACTGGATCTGCACCATTCCCAGAAGTGAATGTTGCTTCCCTCGGAGTGAACGCCACATCCTCTAGTGGTGATAATCATAAACGAGGACGTGGCCACAAGCGAGGTCGATGGAATAGGAAAGGCAAGAACCATGGAGTTCAGTTTCATAACCAGGTTCCCAGGAATAATTTAGGCCCGAGCTTCAAAAATGTGAATCGCCACAAAGGCAAAGCTCATATGAACAATGCTTCTAAAAACTCTGAAGGAGCCTGCCATAGGTGTGGTGGCAATGGGCATTGGGTGCGTACTTGTCGTACCCCAAAACATCTAGTGGATCTGTATCAAGCCTCCCTCAAGGAGAAGGGTGTCGAGACTAACTTTCTCGACCAGGCTAGACCAATGGATATACCTGATCCAGTGTTTGACTTATCAGGGCAGTTGAACACAACTCATCTAGATGTTTCAGACTATATTGTGGAAAGGGGAAATGAAATATATCGGTCCGATTGAATCATTAATGTACTTTTATTATGCTGAACTTGTAGTATTTTCAGATTCAATAAAAGTGGCATGTAAATTTCTTGTTATAACTTGCTTTTAACTCTGATTCTCTTACTCAGAGAGCATGGATAAAAATTGTGGTTATTCTCAGAACATGAGAAATGGTGGAGATATTTGTCTTGCAAACAGTGCAACCACACATACAATACTTCGTGATCGAAAGTATTTCTCAAGCTTAAAACTTACAAGAGTAGGGGTAACAACAATATTAGGACCTTCAGATGTAATTCAAGGTTCAGGGCAAGCCCAGATTATGTTACCAAATGGAACAATATTGTCCATACATAATGCATTGTATGCTACTCGATCTACTCGAAATTTGTTGAGTTTCAAAGACATACGTCTAAATGGATACCACATTGAAACAAAAAGTGCAGAAAATGTGGAGTATCTATGCATTACCTTCAATGATACCCAGAAGCGTATATTGGAGAAGTTGCGTAGTATGTCGAGTGGATTATATTATACATACATAAGGACAATTGAATCACATACTGTCATGAACCAGAAGTTCATTGATTCAAAGGTTTACATGCTTTGGCATGACCGTCTGGGTCATCCAGGATCTACCATGATGCGTAGGATCATTACCAACTCTAATGGACATCCATTAGTGAGCAGATACATTGCTACCTCAAATGATAACCCTTGCAAAGCTTGTTCTCAAGGGAAGTTGGTAATTAGACCACCACAACTAAAGGTTGATGCTGAATCCCCATCATTTCTGCAAATAATTCAAGGGGATATTTGTGGGCCTATTCAACCATCATGTGGACCATTTCGATATTTTATGGTTTTGGTTGATGCATCTACCCGATGGTCACATGTTTGTCTTTTGTCTACTCGGAATGCAGCCTTTGCG